GAATTCTCCTCTCTCCTTGTCCCACCTACTTCCTGCCTGGCAACCTACTTCCTGCCTGGTCACTGGCCATCAGTGTTTTATTTATATAGAGCAATATCCACAGCACTACCAGGAACTTAGGTCACCTGTGAAGAGGTGGCCTGGAATCGAGGAAAGGCAAGTGCACACTGTTCCCCATTCCCCAGCCTCCCTCTTACCCGGAGACAATCAGATGCAACAGGGAGTCAAGTCAAGTAAGAATTCATTTATTGATAGGCAGTAAGCCTCTTTTATACCAGAAAACCTCAGAACCCTGGGAGGGGGTGAAGGAACCAACCAATCACTTTAAAGGTCACCCTATTTACAAGTTGTTTATGCCCTGACATCATCTCCTGTTTTTAGTATCTTATCTTAGCATAAATAACTTGAGCTAACTTCCTTTCTCACCATTTATCTTTAATCTCCATACAAACAACCCAAGCTAACTTCCTCTTAGCCATCCTTTGTATCTATTCTCTGCACAAACAGCTTAAACTAACTTCCTCTCCACATCATCCTTCCTAACTACTCTGTTTGTAAACAGCTTAAAGCTTAAGCTCTATTTGTCTACATTTCTTTTGGCGCCCTCTTTGTAGCCCATGTATGCCCCACAATCTAGAGGTGGGCCCTCCTGAGATTTCCCACATTCATGTTTGTTATCAACTAGTATTGTCATTGTTTAGGTCTTGTTTGGGTGACCATATAGTTAATTAAGATTTTGTGGATGCAGCTTATCTGCTGTATATAGAAAGCATTATCTGGTAACAGATGTCCTGATCCTCTGGCACTTACAACCTTTATGCCCCCATTTCCTCAGTGTTCCCTGAGCCTTACATGTAGGAGTTGTGTTGTAGATGTATCAAGTCGAGATAGGCACCGCATGGTCAATTGTTCTTTGCATTTTGACCAGCTGATGATTTCTCTGATGGACTTTGTCTTCTGCAAACAGAAGCTTCTTGATGAGAGTGAGTGCTACACTTATCTGTGTCTATAAGAACAAGTATTTAGAATGCTGTTGGTGGTTATACTGGTTTAGGGATGTTGTAGCAGTAAGTTCCACTTTATGGTCCATTATTTTAACAGAGATATGCAGTTGGTTAGGTTTATAGTACCAGGCATGAATATGCCACTACTGAATGAGGCCTTAAGTCCAACTAGTTGTTGGTAGTTACCCTGGAGATGTAAGTGCCACTATTGCACCACTGGAGATATACTGCCATACTACTGTTGCAGTTTGTAGGCTTTATAGTGGGGTAAGACTTTTCATTGTTTTGTTCCCTTGGCAGTTTGTATAGTACCTTCAAAGCTAGTTCTTAGGGAGGTCTAGAGATATTTTTAAGTGAAGATCTAGGACTCACTTTGAAGTTACAACAAACATTTAGAGCATCTCTGATCCAAATATTCCAAATTCTAGAGCAAGCTAGAGTTTGCTCTGGGTCCTTTCATGTATGGTGCTTCTGCACATTTTGCTATTTCCTGGGTAGTATATTTCCTGTGTTGCATGGAGGAAGTGGATTCCAAGGGGAATGTAGGTAGGAAGTATGAGGTTTCTTGGTAAATGTACCTCCTTAGGGTATCTCTGTTTCAGGGTTTCAGGAGCCACATGGTCAAGGTGGGTTGGTGACCAGCAACTTAAGCTGTCAAAATGCAAGGTGTTAATACATTCAGCACTCTCATTGTAGGAGGATGGGGACCCTACTTCATGCCCTATGCATTGGAGGGCAAAACTCTGACCCTTCTCTGTCTTCATCCATTTCTATAATGCAGGAACCCCTAAAGAAATATGCACACCAAGAGCTCATTTTTACAGGGTCATGTGTGTTGAGCGGGAAGTACATTTTGTCTGTTTTCTTTAGCAGTTTTTATTTATTAACCGTGATTTACTTAATAGTTTAAAAAATGAGGCCGAGCAGCAGTGGTGGCACACACCTTCAATCCCAGCACTTGGGAGGCAGAGCCAGGGAGATCTCTGTGAGTTCGAGGCCAGCCTAGTCTACAGAGCGAGATCCAGGACAGGCACCATAACTACACAAAGATACCCTGTCTTGAAAAACAAACAAGACAAAACAAAAAACAAAACAACAACAACAACAACAACAACAACAACAACAACAAAAAATTGAGTTACACAACAATCTATATTCCTCTGTAAGTGCATTAGCATGTGTTTTGAAAACATAAGGCTGGACATAATCATGACATTTCCTTCCCCATTAAGGTTAATGCTACTTGGAGGTGACGTATTCTGGATCTGTGATGTATACCACTACATGGTGGAATGAAAGTGACCTCATCTCCCTATGTTTAGAAATATCTTATTTGCATACTTAAGTGACAAAAAATATGAAGAAAGCATATATGACCCCAGTGATTGTAAAAACCTGGTACATTTGGGGGTCCTGGAGAATACAGAGTGATTACCTAAGGGTAATCACCGAGAAAGGGGTGGGCACATAAGGAAATCATGAGGAAGAACAGGAGGAAAGCAAAGTTGAGAAGGTGTGGCTTCTGATAGCCCAGACTTGGCCCCTGCTTGCAGTGTTCTCCACAAGGAGGAAGGAAAATACTCTGGATTGGCAAAGCAGAGAGAGGAGAGCACATGCCTTCCACCTGAGTGAGAGAAAGGCTGAGGAAGAGAAAATGATGATCACATTAGCAAGATGAAACAAGGTCATCTGGTGTGGTGGCATTGTGTTCACCAAAATATTGTGCACCCTAATAAACTTATCTGCAGTCAGAGACAGAAGAGCCATAATATTAAACATAGAGGATAGGCAGTGGTAGCACACGCCTTTAATCCCAGCACTTGGGAGGCAGAGCTAGGCAGAAGTGCATGTGTTCAAGGATACAGCCAAGCATTGGTGACTCATGCCTTTAATCCCAGGGAGTGATGGTAGAAGGCAGAAAGGTATGTGAGACGTGAGGACTAGGAACTAGAAGCATTTGGCTGGTTAAGCATTTGGCTGGTTAAGTATTTGGCTGGTTAAGTTTTCAGGCTTCTAGCAACACAGTTCAGCTGGGAACCATTCTGGATGAGGTCTCAGAGGCCTCCAGACTGAGGAAACAAGACCAGCTGAGGATCCGGTGAGGTGAGGTAGCTGTGGTTTGTTCTGGTTCTCTGATCTTCCAGTTCACCCCAATACCTGGCTCAGGTTTGGTTTTATTAATAAGAACTCTTTAAGATTCATGCTACAATCTGGGGAATGGGAAATAATGAAGGAGAACACTATAGAAAAATGTCACATCCATCATGGCTTTATCTTGAGGGATCATAGTCTCCAGGGGCTAATGAGTAAACACATTAGGCACAAGGGACCGAGTCGTGATAATATAAATGCAAGAAATAGTGATTCTGGCTGGTAAGCATGACTTAAGATACTCTGGGCTTCTTGTAGTGATTGGATATAAATATTGATTTTTTGAAATTTTATTCTTATAAAGAGATGAGAAACCCTCCAGAAGATTGGATGAACACATCATGTATCAAGCTGAACGCAATTACCTACTGAAGAGTCTGGAGAAGAATCTGGCGATTCCCAAGGATTGCACATATGCTGATCAAAAAGCAATAGACAATGAGGTTAGCACTCAGAAGGGACCAGTGCTCCCAAAGAGTGTGATTTTCCTCAGAAAGGCCTCCTTTATGCAGATAGTGTTGGTCATACAGCATGAAATTGCTCCCATGAGGGAAGTTTCTATGACGTGGAGATGTAGCAGACAGGACCTTTGCTGCACACAGCATTCAAGAACCTTGCAGTCTATACTTGGGATAGGTTTAGAATTTGTCTTGCTGACAAATCACCAAGGTGGCTGTTTTTGCACTATGTCTTCTATAAAAGTCCATTTATTATAGTTAGAATTTGGACTCCTGCAAGACTACTCTATTTAGACACTGACAGCATTTCTTAAAATTAGAGTCTTTTTATATTGTAGCAAAAAATTTCACCAAAGAATCCTTGGGATATTTAAAATTGGTTTGGCCCACCATCTTTAATCTTTTTGTCCTTCATACTATTCCTGTTTATAGACAACATACTTAACAGTACAAACAGTTTCAATAAAAGCAATGTCATCACACACACACACACACACACACACACACACACACTCACTCATTCACTCACATATTTGTGTGTTTTCATTTTATCATGAATCTTCTTTTCTCAGCTTCATAATCTGTCTAGTTTTTTTGACCATGTTTGGACACCATTGTTTTAACTGATCTATGACATTTTGTCTTGGAGATAGCTATACAATCAAAATTCCTAGGTACTAGTCTTTTATGTTTGAAGACAAACTTGCCCCTTCTCTCCAAGTGGTGATCTTTTTCTGTCTTGTAACACAGGACACAACTGGATTTCCTCCTTATAATGTGGGTGTTCTTGAGGCCATTAGTACGCCATTTGCAGTGGGAAGTAGACATTTTTTAACCTTACAGTATAAAGGCTTTGCTTTCTTTCTGGGGAGAACTCTAGAAAAAATTTCATAGTCAATTGCTCTTGTTCAGGTGGGAGTGGGCCACATTCTTATATTTCCCTTGGGGCTGTCTACTACACTGGCAGAGTTTCCTATCCCAGAACTGAAGTGAGATTGCCAAGAATTGAGAGGACTTTTCCTGTCATGACTGTTGTTGCCATAAAACCTTTTTTTTATTTGTTGTTGTTGTTCTTGATGTGTAGAGCAAAGGCCAAACAGTGGTATCATTTGGCCAAATTATTATGTATTATGTATATTATTTTCATTTTATATTTTTGATTGATTGAAAATTAGATAAGCAATGCTATAAATCTCTTGTTTCTTTTAGTCATTACAGATGGTGTTCAAGCGTGTGACATTCGAAAGGAAAGGTGCCATACTGAAGATTTTGGCAAGAAAGGGCATTGGCTATCATCATAGCTCCATGAGTGCCAAAGAAAAGCAGCTAGTTGAAATTCTCTTTAGGAAAGGATTCATTAGGGTGGGTCAGCTTTTCACTGTAAAATTTGAAATTGTGAAGATATGAAGCAGAATGTTCATGAAATGAGGAAATACAGTCACCCCTTTACTTTCTTCCCCTCATGTAGCTATGCCTCTTGGGCTGTAGACTTTGCTTCCTGACTGTAGCATCTTTGCATATGCTCCATGTCATTTAACTGGAGAAGAAGGTTTGACAGGTGTCACTCACTCCATACCCTCACACAAGGAAACGAAGCATGTCTATGCTGATCTCGGCGCTGTATCTTACTCTTTTGTTATTCTATGTAGGGTTTGTTGATGTGGTTTTGCTACAAATATTATTGCTAAGAATTTAGAGGGTATTTCTATTTGAGTTTGGGGCAGATTCTCTTCTAATGTGTTAGCTGAAATCAGAGCACAGATATCTGCTTCCTCAGGCCTTCAGCTTATCTAAGCAGAGCTTGTAGATATGTCAGAACTGAGTTTCTGATAGGAGACAAGAGAAAGATTGCCATAAACAACTTTCAAGCCACATCCTTATTGTGTTTTCTTTAGTACATTTTGGGAAGGCTTATGCAATAATCTAGACAAGCATACAGAAGGTCCTTAGATCATTATCAAGGAAATCTGAATCTTGAGTAATATTTAAAAATTGGCCCTGACTACTAAAAACTATCAACCTTAAATTTTGTGTGCCATAGGCTAAAAGAAAGAGAGTATGAAAAAAAGAGAAAAAAAGAGAGAAAGAGACATGGCTAAAATAGTATCTGACTGTAATTTCTTAGTCACTAATAAAGTGATGAATAACTTGACTGGTACAGAATAGCTACAAGGGAAATAGTAATAACTTTATCAGAGAATACATTTTAGGAAGGTATTTGTTCTGTTCATTTTTAAATATAAAGCTCCTACTTTCTCAATGTTTGTGCTTATTAAAGAGATTTGAATAAAAAGCATTTAATAAGTGGCATGCTTCATTTTGACAGAGGCATAAGCCTCAGTTACAAAACAATTAGAAAACATTACTTCACATCCTTAAACTTCATCATAAACTAGAGCACAAACAGCCATTAATCTAAAGAGAGAGTGTAGAGGAATTTTTCTTTAGACTGCCAGCTCACAAAAAATGACACAGGAGACTTATTAATTATGAAAACTCGGCCTATAGCTTAAGCTTGTTTCAACTTGCTCTTATAACTTAAATTAACCCATTTATATTAATCTACATTCTGCCATGTGGTGTGACTTCTCTTCCATCTTGTACCTTCTGTTTCCTCTCCATGTTGGGCTGGTAACTCCACCTTTCTTTTTCCCAGAGTCCTCTCTGTTCCCAGAAGTTCTACCTAACCTCTTCCTATCTAACTATTGACCATCTGGCTCTTGATTAAACTAACCAGAAGGCACTTTGGCAAAGACACATCTTCAAAATGTACAAAAAGCCAATTCTACAACAAGACAGGACAAGTTAATGTATACTAACTACATCAGGAAAAAATGAGCAAGAAGTTAGATTATTTGAATAAACATCATATTTGTTTCTGTTTCTGATTAGTGATTGTGCAAATTCACAACCGAAAAAGAAAATGGACCTTGTTCTTATGTCATTTCTCAATGAACTGAGGAGATCAAATAATTACCAAGAAGTAGTCTTGTAAAAGATTTATTGCCCTCTCACAGAGAAATTCCTCTCAGAATATTTTCTTACCATGTTTATTGTAATACTTATCCCATGCCAGATGTTCTATATGGCTCTGGAGATGCAACAGTGAATGATGCTTTGACTTTAGTATTTGAAGATAATAAAATAATAGATGTTGAGGAACATTGAGAGAATAATGCAAAGAGCAGAGAGAGAGATGGTGATGAGAGAAGATAAGTATTTTAGATGTGGCCTCGAAGCTCTTCTGTGACATTTGCACCACACAGTTAAGGTTAAAGTATATATTCCTTGCAAAGTGATGAGTATTATAATGATTCCAATAGAGAATGTGCTGTTTGTGTTTGCAAATTAAGAAGAAACATTATGTGCCTCATCTCCCTAGTTTGCCCGCTGCAGTTTTATTGGAATTTCAATATAGTTTTTAGTAATTTCATGGAAATACTTGTATTCTACCAAAATGCCAGCATGTGGAATCACTGTTTTGTTCCTTTTTAGGTGGTGACAGCTACTGGAACACTTGCTTTAGGAATCAACATGCCTTGTAAATCTGTGGTTTTTGCTCAGAACTCTGTCTATCTGGATGCTTTAAATTTCAGACAGGTATTATAATATATATTAACTTAATGTATTAATATTGCATAGTCATGAAAGAGTAAAAAAATACTTTAACTATAATTTACTAACATACTCCAGTTCCTGGCAGAGCACTGTAGGTGACTGTCTGTTACGGAGTAAGCAGACTATAAGATTGTGTGACCACTGCTAATCATGTGTATGATCTTGGATAAGATATCCAATCTCTTCTCCTATATGCAGAATGTGAGTGATCATTACGACCCCATGGAATGCACATAAACTAAATAAAGCAATTTACAAAAAAAATGATCCACATCAAAGATTATTGGGAAACATTTAATTTCTCATTTACTGAGCATGGTTTTTTCTACTCTGGAGCCATCTTTAATACTTTTCTTGACTCTCAGTACACAGTCTGACTCCAAACTGACCTCTGTACTCTCCTGTGGTGTTATTTAATTGCTTCCCCACAATCTGTGCATTCATTATTGCCATGCTCTGCCCAGCTCCAGACAATGACCTAACTGGGGTGGCAAGGTAGTGAGAAAAAGACAAATACACAGATACACAGAAAAGCTGGAATCCGGTGGACTTGGCTTTCTGATGGAGAAATTATATCACTTGGAAGCTCAGTGTGTTTATTATATACAGTTGAACAGAAAAGTGGGGTTATTGCATATAGTTGAACAAGAAGTCAGTTTAGGTCATCTTAGGAGGAGTTTCTGTAGGGGAGAAGTCCCCAGGCACAAATATCTGGGAGGATAAAGCTACAATGGACAGTTTCTGCACACACTATTAACATCCACACATGGATCAGAGGAAGAATTTTCAGTCTCATTGAGGGAATAAAGGGGACTTCACTATTCCTGTGGGATTGAGGCATTGGGTCCTTGACATATCCGTTCCTGGATTAATTATATACATTCCTATAGGACTTCATTCATTTCATCCAAGGCTTTCTCAGCTCCCCACATATTTATCTTTCACCACAAATTCTTGACCTTGTATATTAAAGCATTCTCCTTGGTTTTGATTCCCCTTGTTCTTTTATGTTCTGCAGACAACAGAGTTTGTCTTCATAGAGTTTACCTTCTCAGAAATGTTTGGTCAATATTTCTGTTCACAGCTTCAAATGTAGCTATATCCACTAACATTCAAATCATATGGATCATGTATAATTAATATTAACACTACATTATCATGTAGTGTTATGATATATGTTATATCACAAAGTATATAACATTATACGCCATAGATAGAATATTTTTATCAAGTAAGGAATTGCCAGGAAGTGACAGTTAAATATTATATAGCACATAATATATTCACAGAGCTAGTTATATGATTTTATAAATAGGTGTAGTTCTTTGCAACATTATACAAATGCTTACTTTAATTAATGATACATGGGGATGACAGATATATTATTTGAAGTAGTTCTGCTTCAGATATGGTGCATTTTTTAGATTTTTCTTAACCTCTAGGCACAGCATACTTGCTCCAAAGCAGTATAAAAGGCTTAGCTCTTTATATTCTCTTAGGAAAAACACTCAGGTGATTCTCACAGTATGATTCTACTCTGTTTCCAGATGTCTGGTCGTGCTGGAAGACGAAGGCAAGACCTTATGGGTGATGTCTACTTCTTTAATATTCCACTGCCTAAAATAAAGAAACTCATAAAATCCAAAGTACCCGAGCTGAGAGGACAGTTTCCTCTCAGTATCTCACTCATTCTAAGACTCATGCTGCTGGCCTCCAAGGCAGATGACCCAGAGGACGGCAAGGCAAAGGTGCTGTGTCCCTGTGATTGGACCTCTGTCTTCACCAATGGCTTGGCTGAAATCAGCTCTCCTGTGCTTTTATTGGGATTTTGATGCTTCTCAATGTTATCTAGAGAGCGGTGGAGGAAGCTGGGGAAAATGATGATAAGTTTTGTTTATTTCCATTATCAGACAGAATTTGTGACTGAGTGGCCACTAAGGTGTTCCCAGGACCACTATCTTCTAGCATGATAGACAACATTGTCTTGTACTGCAGTGTGCCAGCGATCATCTGTTTCTATCGTTTGGAAAGAAGAAGAATTTTTTTTTTATAATTGTAAAGTAGCAGTTTATTTTTCATAAAAAAAGTTCATTAAAAGTGTTTAGAAAATGTATAATGTTGGAAAACAAACAAACAAGCAAACAAACAAACAAAAAACCAAACCCAAACCAAATAAAAAAAGACTCATGCCTAGTTCTACCAAAATGATCATATATAATTTTGGTTTTTGTTTTTCAGACATTTTTTCCAAGGTATGATTACACATTTTATAAGGGTGTAAGTAAGTGGACATCAAAACATTATCAGAACATTGTCTTGGTGCTTTAGGGTCAGATAAAACTGAATCTGAGACCATGACTTTGAAACTCACAATTAGATTGTTTAATTTCCATTTTTGTGACAATACACTGTCAAAAAAACTTGTGTTCATTTTCTGTTGGCTGTAACATAATACCACAGGTGGAGTGAATTATGAAGAAAAGAGGTTTGTTTTGGCTCATGATTCTGAGGTTAAATGCTGAAGGGTGGGTATTATCTAGTGAAAGACTTTCTTTGAAGTGTTCCAAGTCACAGGACATCACATGGTAATCAGGAAGCATGCAGGCCTGTCTGGCACCTCCCATTTGTTCCTCTTGTAAAATCTGTGAGGATTCCATCATAGTAGCCTTCTACACTTAGGACTCCCTCTGGTTCTAATAACTTCCATATGTCCAAGCCTTCAATAAGAGAGATGACTAGATGAAGACTAGATTTCTGCATGATCTAGGGACCACATTCAGACCTCAGCAGGACCTATTCTTCTCTATTTCTGTGTATTAATTATAACCAGTTAAATCAGATGCTGCTTAGTGAAGTGAGAATTCCGGGATTCCCTAATGGGTTTGCTGGTTTTATAAAGCATTGTTTTGGACCAAAGTTTTTTTCATTTTTGAGTTCTTTCAAAATGACTTCTCTCTCCCTCTCTCTCTCACCTGTTCCCTCCCTCCTTCCATCCCTCCTTCCTCCTCTCTCTCCCCATCGGTCTGTCCCTCTCTCTCATTCTTTCTGTGTGTGCATATGTCATGGCACACATGTGGTGGCTACAGAACAAATTGAGGACAATTTGCAGGAGCCTGTTTCCCTCCTTCACCGTTCTGGGTCCTGGGTCCTGGGTATCCAACTCTGGTTGTACGTATTGGTGACAAGTTTACCCACTGAGCCACTATATTGGCCTGTTTTTCAGTTCCTAACTTTTACTCCTCTCTCTTTTCTCTCTTCTACTTTCATATACATATATGTTTAAATCTAGAGATTGAATGAGATAAAGCATGGATCGTGATGTTCCAGCTGCCTCTTAGCCTACAATATTGGGTGTTTCATAGAACACACTTTTTCCATCTTCTAGCTATGGCAACCAGGTTAAAATCCCTACTGAAAGTCTTTGGGAGAGACTGCTCCAAGACGATCTCCAGGGTATGCAAAAAAAAAAAAAAATCCACGCATATGGCAAGGGCTAGACTTTTTCTGTCTGAGGGGTAAATAAGGAAACACACTCTATCTGATGGTAACTCTCTTTTACTTCATCTTAAAAATCTTTCTGAAAAATCTCTCTCCACACAGCTACATCTCTCTTCTATACACATTTCTTCTCTCTACTCTGCTACAGACTTCACACACTACTACATCATTTACTCACTCTTTACTAACTCACTCACTCTACTTACATCTCACTTCTCCCCCTGCACACTCAGCTACATCTCCTTTTCAGCACACACACACACACAGTGGGCAATTATATATTACAGTTTCAGTGTCCGACCCTTTCTCATAACATATGATAAGTCACACAGGAATAAGTTTTTATCTATCTGAGGGAAAAAGACTCACACACCATCTGAGGGTCATTTTCTTTCATTCTTCTTCAGCTCTAATTCTACAGCTTTTCAGCTCTAATGTTATAGCTCCTCCCCTCTACGTGGCTAGAAACACACTTCTAACAGCAAACTCTTTGCAATATTAAGAAAAGTTACAAGGCTATCTCTCAAGGTAATAGCACATTCCTTCAGAGACCATAAGGAGCAAAGCTATTTACTGTGCAATAAACAGGTGGTGACATGGTGCTTGGCACTTTCCTGCCAGTGACATCCACAGTTAGCTGGACATAAAACTATTTCTCTCTGGAACTGGTTAATTGATTAGTTGTTATTTGGGACCTAAATATCAAACAGTTAGTTGAAGCTTGAGTTTTATATCATAAAATGAGGTTAGAATGTTCATACAAAGTGTTAATTGCTAAAGGGTCAGAGCAGGTGAATATTGTGAGTCTTGTTATCAGCTGCAATTGGGGGAAGCTCATGACCACTTAGGTCTCCTTTATTCTCTGAAGGACTTTGATTCAACAAAGCCAGACACTTCATAATTTTGTCCTTGAGTATAATCTGTGAAAGTCCTGCTTGTGATCTATTCACAGAGACACTTCATCCAGTCAAATTGCCCTGTCAATAAGCTAATTATGGAGAACAGGCTTCTAAGTGTCTTACAGTGCATGTGGAACAATAGATCTAGTTATGAAGCATACTTTAAAATATTTCTCTTCATCAAAACTATACAGCTTAATGAGAAGTCATCTTTCTGACCATCCACAACTATATGTGTCTGTGAGATTGAGATGTAACCATGGGATGACATGTACACATTACATGAAATGCATGGTAATGCAGAAATACCAAGCTGTTACCAAAGTACATGGCTTTGCAAGACTTGCCTGACAGGGTTCCTCCATCAGAAAATATTTCATCTGGTGGGTTGACATCCGGACTGCTATCTGCTGTAACTGTGTCATGGCCCAGGACTAGAGACAAGCATCCAAACACATGAGCCTGAGAGGCCATTTTCATTCAAACTGCCCCAGTGATCTTTTGTGTATTAAAGGATATATGCACTATGTTAGATGATGTTATATATGATGCAGGAAATTGTATTGTATTAAATCTAATTGGACTTTGTATATTGCTGCTGTATTTTGTTATTCTGGTCATCTCCTATATAGTGGGTGACCAAGAGCACCCCCTTTTCCTTGTGTGCCGTAGTCAAAGGAGACAGAGTTTGGAAAGGAGTAAAGTGGTAAAGGGGGGGGGGAACCCAAATGGTTCACTGTGCTCTAGAGGTATGGAGCTTGTAATTCATATCATATATGCATAAGGTATGTGATATATATATATATATATATATATATATATATATATATATGTTTACATATATATTATATGCAATTTAGCCTGTGTTATCTCTTTCAAAGACATTTCATTCACTTGATGTTGCTAAATCAAAACACATTTCTTTGTAGGCACTGTCAGTGCTGAAGCACTCATTGCTATCCTTCAAACATCCCCGAGTCACAGACATGTTAAAGCTGTACTTCTTATATTCTTTGCAGTTCCTGGTGAAAGAGGTAGGAACCCACTCCTCTATCTGTCCCCCTCTCTCTGTTTTGTGTGTGTGTGTGTGTGTGTGTGTGTGTGTGTGTGTGTGTGTGTAATTTGCTAGTATGTAGACTTTTTTTAAAGTAACAGACTTGATTTTTTTAATTTTTAAAAATTTTTATCTACATATGTATGTATGTATGAGTAGATGTCGTGTGTGTAGGTACCCATGGAGAGGCAAGAAGAGGGCATGAGAAAGCCCGAAACTAGAGTTGTAGCTAGCTGTGAGGCACTCAATGTGGGTTCTGGAAAACTGAGCTCAGGTCCCCTGGAAGAGCAACAAGAGCTGCTGACTGCTGACCATCTCTCCAGCCCTAGATTTTTTTGTTTTTAACCATATTACATTATTGCAGTCCTTAGAAGACAATACCCAATGAGTACTGCTACTTGCTATTCATGTAGTTATTAAAGTTGGGCCAGTTAATAGTTACCATCTTGTTGATATGTACTATTTTAAACTGATAATGAATAATCTACTTGTTACTAATTCTGTGAGTGGAGTCAAACTAACAAATTGCTTTTGTTCTTTAGGGATATATAGATCAAGAAGGTAATCCAACAGGGTTTGCTGGCCTGGTGTCACATTTACATTACCATGAACCATCCAATCTTGTTTTTGTCAGTTTTCTTGTGAGAGGTCTTTTTCATAAACTTTGTCAGCCAACTCATAAAGGTAAGTTTGAGGGCTGTGTTTTCTGTGTGTATGTCTTGTACCATTGAAACAATATTATAATATCATACCACATATAAATAATATATTTTTAGTAGTATATAGGCATATATCAAACAATATATAATATAATGTTATATATACTATATACATGTAAAATTATGTGTATGAATGTATCTATGTAAAATCTTCCCATGGTGGGAAAAGAAAACTGATAGATTTATAGAAAACTAGATCTTCAGAAACACATTTACTCAATAATCACTTGAGAGTGTATCAGTTAAGTATAATAATGTATGTATGAAAATCTTGTTATTCACTTTAACTAAAAGTTTAATAATAAAAAGAATGGTAATTCAATAGACAAATTATAGGTTTACAAATGAGATAAAATAAGGTTAAATAAATATTAATAGAGGTTCTATTTTGTGACAATGATTTTAAAATATTCACTTCTGCAAGTTGTAACTTGAAGTGTGTTGCCACTAGAATTCTGAACATACCAAATAATATACAATATTTATAAAACATTTCCTCATAATTAAGTATAATATCTGATCAATTTTGAAGAACAGCACAGAAAAGAATTGCTAAAATATAAAGCCTCAAATTCTACCAACAGATAATCACTATTAATATCAATTAATGTTATCTGCAACACTATTTTCTTTGAATATAACTGTAAAGTATAATTAATAATTAATCAATAATTAATTTTATTAATTATGTGTTCAAGGTAACTATACATATTAAATTTTGCCCACATTGGGCAAAGTCTTTAAAATAAATCCCATATAGCTTTTATGAAATAAACTTTGGGTTCTATGTTTCAAAATAAATTCTTTACACAATGTCTCTGAAGTAAATATTGCCCTTTCTTAATATTTGTGCTGAATGTTGTGATATTTCCTGGTGCATGGTGCCCTCAATGCCTCCTGCTTTGTCATCTGTTACTAGCTGATGGACTTGGCTTTGCACAACTGTAGTCTTTATGCTTTAAAAAATGTATCATTTTCTGGCTACTTGGAAAGTTTTGTTCCCCCAAATGTGTAAAAGGTGAAATAATTTCAGGCAAGAGGAAGTGTGATTGTGTTTGTTGTTGTTGAAAGGGGTAGCTAAAATTGGCAACTTTATAAAGGATGCATGGAGAAATTAAATGAATTGACATGTGCCTAACCTTTTAGGAATCAAAGCCAATACTCGAATATAACTAGCCTGATGCTAGATCCCAAGTTATTGATTCTCACAACTTTTTAAGCATTCCTACTATTTACTTGCTGTTAGAATGCAGTGACTCAAGTGGACTATGGCTCCATCTGAGTCAAGGAAGATTATCTGCAGGTTTAGTTTTGGATATTTGGGTGTTAGGCATTAAGATGTCATAAGAGATTGACTAGATGAGAGAGGATATGGTGGATTGCATAAGCATGGCCCGCATAGGCTCGGTACTTGGTCACCAGGGAGTGGCACTATTTGAAAGGATTAAGAGGTGTAGCGTTGTTGGAGGAAATGTGTAGATGGACTTTCTTTATTTGTTACCAGCCCAAAATAATGACATAAAGACTTATTATTAATTTTAAAAGCTTCGCCTTAGCTTAGGTTTGTGCCATTGGCTCTTATAACTTAAATTAACCCCTTTATATTAATCTAAATTCTGCCATGTGGTGTGATCTCTCTTTCATCTTACACCTCCTCTTTCCTTTTTTGTGTGTGGCTAGTGACTCCACTTTTCTCCCTCCCAGAGTCCTCTCTGTTTCCAGAAATCCCACTTATACATCCTGCCTAGTTTAGACTGTTCAGTTTTTTATTACACAATTACAGCAAATACATCTTCACACTATGTATGAATATCCTACCATAGGAATGTGTTACATGGGGGTAGGTTTTGAGGTTTCAAAAGCCTATCAAGTCCAGAATCTCTCTCTCTTCCTGCTACCTGTGGATCTCTTAGCTACTTCTCTAGTACCATGTCTGCATGTGTACTCATCATAATGATAATGGGCTAAACCTCTGAAACTGTAAGCCCCAATTAAATGCTTTCTTTTATAAAAATTGTCATGGTCATAGTTTCTCTTCACAGCAATAGAACAGTAAGCAAGACATAAGTTGATACCAGAAGTTCAGTATTGCTATGATAGGCCTTACCATGGTGCTTATGGGCAGAAGGTAGACTTTGAGACTTTGGATTAGGAAAGCAGTTAAATATTTTAAATGAGGATTAATGGGCCATTCTAGTAGGAGCATGGAAGTTAGTGGTACTGAGAGCAATGTAGATTATGAAGGCTCAGCTCAAGAGATTTCAGAGGAGAAGAATATTAATAAGTGGCCTAGAGACCATTCTTGTGATAGTTTCAAGAAGAATCATCTGCTTTTATCAAAAAAATATACCAGAGGCTAAATTGAAGATTTCTAGATCAATGACACTGGCATAGATTTCAAGGCAGCCTAGGATGTGTCCTGTGATTGTGAGTAGTTATTCTTACACAGATCTATAATGAAAAGGAGTAAGCTGGACAAAGAGAAATACAAAATGTACTGTTTGAGGAGAAAATGAGCACCAGGAAGTCTAATGGAGCTAAATCCAACATCATGGAGATGAAAAGTTTAAAGAAAAGCCTGATGTTAAACCGAATAAAGGGAGTGGTGACCTTAGAGCAAGACTCCACCCATCTGAGCTTCAAGCTTATGAAAAGGAATTAAAGAAAAGCTTAAGCAGTGAAGGAAATCATCAACACTAGAAAGCCGATATGGATGTAATTTAAAGAGGGGGCCAAGTTCCAACCCCAGCAAGCAGTAGAACTTGGCAGCTTCAGCCACATAGTTCTGGATTTAGAGTCAAGAATATAAGAAAAGGGTTTTGGAATCTGCCTCTGTGACTAACAAATGCTGCTGAGGCCAGGTCTATGTCATTGGGGTCCCTTCATGAAGACTCTGAGAGGTCATTGCAGAAAGCTGTGAAAATGAAGCCTAGATTGTGTTAGAGACTCTAAGATATTAGAAATGCCAGAACTGTAGTATATCTGCCCAGGAGAGATGCAGATGAGGTGTGGAACCAGTCCAAGAGAAAGAAGTGTGTTACAGTGAACAAAGCTGAAAAGAGTTGGAGATCTGAAGAGTGTCTTGACATCAGACATGGAGATGCAGAATGTGGAGTTTGCCCAACTGGTTTTTTGGTTTTACTTTGATTGTATATGAATTCTAAATGGTCTTATTAAATAAAAAACACAGAGCCTAATATTGGGCTTGAGACCTGAGAGATCAGAGGAATAGGAAAAACTACAGCTAACCTCACCTCACCAACTCCACAGCTTCCAAAGAGACCTACTTCCTGTATACCCACACCTATATGTCTTTCTGTTCTGCTCTCCCTTTTGCTCTGTCCATCCAGCTACATCATGTTCTCTTCCTGCCCAGCTCTGTCACTTCCTGTCTGTCTATACAGACCTCCAGACCTCCATGGTTAGTGATGGATTTAAGGCACGTGCCACCACACCTGGCTCTGTTCCCAGTGTGGCCTTGAACTCACAGAGACCCAGATAAATCCCTGCTTCCTGAATGATAGGATTAAAGGCATGTGCTACCATTGCCTGACTTCTATGTTTAATATAGTGTCTGGCTTTTTCCTCTGATCCTTAAATAAATTTTATTGGGGGACACAGATAAAATATCACCAAATTTCCCCTTTTTTTGTCTAATAAAAAATAAAAAACTGCCGGGCGTTGGTGGCACATGCCTTTAATCCCAGCACTCAGGAGGCAGAGGGAGGTGGATCTCTGTGAGTTCAAGGCCAGCCTGGGCTACAGAGTGAGTTCTAGGAAAGGCACAAAGCTACACAGAGAAACCCTGTCTCGAAAAACCAAAAAAAAAAATAAAAAAATAAAAATAAATAAATAAATAAATAAAAAACTTATAACTAGATTCTGCCGTGGCGCCTGGGGGTTGCAGACCAGCGCTGTGGAGCGGGAGCAACAGCCTTGTCGCCGCTGATCCAGACTGTCCCATGATTTAAAATTTGGCTGGAATTTGTATGTGACGCATTCCCAGACCATCCTGCAAGCTCAACGCCAGCTCCTTCTCTGTGACTGGGTCCAGATAAAGGTCCTTTCAAGACTGACTTCATTGGATCTACTGGCAAGGACCCCACCAGGTTTTCCTGACCCTACTACGTCACTGTAAAGAGCCATCGGGCAAGAGTGCCAGCATCAACAGAAGACACACTGCGTCCGGCAGCGCCTGTTTCACCAGGCATAATAACCTTACCAGCAGTGCAGAGTACCCTTGTGGGACACCATCACCCGCTGATACTGCTGCTGCTGAACAGTTCAGACTAGAGGTCTGGCTTTCCTTAAGACGCTGGGATTTGAAGGAGCTATTCTGTGATCTGTGCTTCTAGTAAGTGACTGATAGTATTCTAGACTGGACTGGTCCGTGAGTACAGAGACTGAGTTGCAATTAAGTGAAAAATAGAATACAAGATCTTGAAGAACTGCACTGAGGTGCAAGCCAGATTTAACACTCCAGTGCTGTGACCTGAGAAGTTGCTAAGGAAACCTGTACCAGGACCAATTGTCACCGCCGCTTACTGCCTTTCTCTGTGTCATTGTTGCCTTTTGCTGTTACACTGCTTGTGCTGTCTTTCTAAGCCCAGATGTTCTCCGATAACTCCCACTGCCCTGACTGTGGGCAGCAGTGGTTCCCTAGTTTAGAACTAGGGCATTGGTTATACCAAACTGAACTTGTTGAGAATGAATGTTACCAAGTGTTCTTAGACCGTATTAACCGAGCTGATTATTGCCCTGAATGTTATCCTGACAATCCTGCTAATAGAAGCCTTGTTCTGCCTTGGTCTTTCCCACTTGAGTGGGCACCTCAAAATCTCACCAGGTGGACCTTTGAGAAAGCTTGCCACCCATTTCTTCTGGGTCCGCCACTGGTTAGAAAAAAGATACACGACTCCAGAGTAGCTGGTTTTAATCCTGCATTACAGTTAATCTTGACCAGAACAGACAAAACCTTAAACAAGAAACTTGGCCAAAGCAAGTGACTTCTGTAACAGAATCATGAACTCTTCCAGGGCTTTGTGTTCATAGCCTAGGGGAGAGGAATAGTAACTTGTTTCTGTTTTCTTTCTCTCTTAATTTTTTTTAAGGTGCTGGGGATTGAATCTGGGTGCCCTTATGCATGCTAGGCAAGTGCTCTTCCGCTGAGTTTAACCCGAGGCCCTTTAAGTCTGACTCAGTCTGTCACTACTTGGTCTACTGCTTGACTTGTTGGGTCTGCTTCTGTGATCTATGCATTTTGTTTTTTGTTTTTAGCATAAATTTAGTCAGTATTGCAGACTGTTTACCTAGAACCAAACTAACCTGTAGTCCAGACAAATGCTTTAGAACTAGATTGCCCCTCCTAAGTATTGACGAGATAATGTGGGCTGGAGGGGAGGCCCCATGCCAGATGCCCCATTAACTTTTTCTAACAGCAACTTTTATGAGAACACATTCTTGTAGCTGGATTCTAGATTATTCTAGTAAATTTTAATACACTACATTGTTCTAGATTTCTCCTCTTATACATTGATCAGTAGTGAGAGAGATGTGTATGTATATAAAATTTTTTCACATATATATTGATACTTTTATCATCAGCATAAGTGTTACAGTGTTGATAGCTGGTCCTTTCACATTCTATTTGTCAATACCTACAGAGGTTACAAAAAAGGGTTGAGAATGCCGCCAGTTTACACTCACTTGTCTCTACATAACCAAAGACTGCTCTGTCTTGTGGTGACTGAATTTAGCATCCTCCTATGGAAATGGAAAAATAACCTGTGCTGTGAAATTCAGAACAAATGGTAAAGCTTGACTCCATATAATTTAAGAATAGTCTAGAGGATGCTTTGTCTTAGACATAAGAATGTGTTGCTGAGCATTGGCCACATTCTGGGGTTCTCCTGTTCATGGAAATCATGGAATCAGATTTGGAGTTAAGCAACTAGAAAAAGCTCCTGGGAACATCTGAGAAGCCACTGAACAATTTTAAATCCCACTTAAGATTCTAGGTGATCCAGTGCTTGTGTAGCAGCGAAAATGTCATCAAGGACCTGGTTCTTCTCTTTCCTCCCCTGGGGTTCTTAGGGGGGTTGCCTTTGTTTTCATAGTTGTTCTTGAAATGAATTCAGTTATGCTTTGTTGTGCCAGACAGTAGGGGGCACGTGGCTTTCTTTCTTAAAAGTCTTAATTTGGAAATAAAATCTTTCTGAAATGTCTCAAAAAAAAAAAAAACAAAAAAAAAAAAAACTTATAACTAATGTAAGAAAAACTATATACAATAAGTACAATAACTATATACAATATATACAAGCAATAAATATATCAATAATATCTAGTCCATTTGCATTTGACAAATTCAGCAAAAATATTCCATCATCTATCCTATTTTGGTGAGTCCACAATGTACCTAATTCACTTTCTATCATATCTTGCATTACCAACAGAAAACTATTTTATGATGTCTTTCAAATTTATACACTTTACACCTCTTAGTGAGTTTCTTTTCTGAAATCGTTAATAAGTAAAACTGTAACTACGACTTTCTAATCTTCAACTCCATCAGATACAAGAAAAGGAAATAATGTTACTTAGTCAAAAATGAAGTGCAAACAAGCAACTTTCAAAAAATGTGAGTTATGACAGAAACAGCCAGCTTCCTGGATAGTTACCCAAGGTTTTCTATGCAACGTTGGGACATCATGTTCGGCCTACAGGCTTAGCATATCTGACAGACTCATTTGTAAAGCACAATGTATGCAAGGCCTACAGCTCAACCCCACATTTGGTGCAAGCATTCCATGTACCAGATAAACTTGAATTCCACCAGTGTCCTGTCATGATTCAGGATTTTAAATTCTGGAAATTGCTGGTAATTTTGGAATTTACCTTCCCATTCTTCTCGGCTCATGGGTGGCTTCATCTCCTTTATTAAATGCCAGTCTACCTTTGAGAGGCCAGACTCCATCAGCTTAGTTACTCCTCCAAGAATAACTGCTCTGGCTACTGTTCCACTGCAAACCAGGAGCCACTGGTCCACTACCTGTTCAGCTGCCGTCAAAGGAAGGGGCACTGTACCTTTTCCAGATTGCAAAGCCACTTCAGCAATGGTGCCATATTGTCCTGGCCTCAGAGGATGCCTGTTGCAACCATACTTGTCTCAGCAAGGATTGGTAGTCCTTTGTTTTGTGTCCTGCTTGTCCATTTTGGACAGCATACTCTCAGCAGTCAATGCGAGGTCACTTTCTTGCCCAGTGGCTAACTTTTGCCACAGTAAAAGTTAACACCATGTGGATGTTTGTCAATGACTATATCTTCTCTGAAGTAGATTGGTGTTGCCAGGAGCAGACATGTCTCATAGTCATAAAAAAAGAGAAAAAAATATATTATTAAAACATTTTAAGTGCCATATTCTGTAGATCTCTGAAGGGTTTGATGATGACCTGTCTATCTAAAATATATCTCTGCTTGACCTTGAAAACATACCTAATATGATTACAAGATCAATTGTAATGACTACTATCTTCCATGTCTTTATATCCTAATAGTTGGTAGTAATAACTTTCAAGGATTAGCAAATTGCATTACATTGTTAAATAAACTGTATAGGTACAATATCCTGAACAAATTTGAATATACATACAATATATCAATCTCAAATTGGTATCAATATACATAATTTGTATATGATATACAAAAATCCAATCCAGTATAAAATATTTAAAACTAGTAGTTGCTTTCTAAAAATAGATTAAAAAATCTACCTTTTTATCTAATCATATCTATATAAATCAATCTCAAATTTGTAGCAATATACATAATTTATATACAATATATAAAAATCCAGATCAATGTAAAATATTTAAAACTAGTAGTTGCCTTTTAAAAGTAGATTCAATAATATACCATTTTATATATATCATATCTATATCCTCTCTTTTTTCCTTCTTTTTTTATGTTTTTTTTTTTTTTGAGACAGGGTTTCTACATGTAGTTTTGGTGCCTACCCTGGATCTCGCTCTGTAGACCAGGCTGGCCTCGAACTCACAGAGATCTGCTTGGCTCTGCCTCCTGAGTGCTCAGATTAAAGGCATGTGCTACCATTGTCTGAATTCTATGCTTAACATAGTGGCTGGGTTTTTCCTCTGATCCTCGGATAAACTTTATTTGGGGACACAGATAAAATATCACCACAACTTTGGTCCAGTATTTCCTTACTATGCTCCTTATTCCCCTCTTGAAATGGTAGTGTATATCCTGTGCCATGTATGTTGGAAGCATGTGACCTGCTTTTTTATTTTGATGTTATAAGGAGTTACAGTTAAGAGATTGTCTTGAGTTTCATAAGAGACACTAAACTTTGAAATTTTAAACAGTGTTGAGACTGTAATAAACAATAGGGGCTTTTGAAGTTGGACTAAATGCATTTTGAATTATGATATGGCTACAAACCTGTAGAGGAGAGGGAAGAAATGCAATGTGGTGGTTTGAATGAACATAGACTGCATAGACTCATAGATTAGAATATTTTGTCAGCAGGGAGGGGCACTATTTGAAAGAATTAGGAAGTGTGATCTTTTTGGAGAAAGGGTGTCACTAGGGAGTGGGTTTTGAGATGTCAAGAGCCTGGCCAAGTCCAGGAAATCACTCATAAATTGAATCTTAATAAGTATATAGGCACAGGGAATAAAAACAAAGAAAGAAAAAAATGTTTTCAAGCAGGGAGGTCAGAGGAATTATGGTTCTTCATTTTCCATATTACCAACTCAGCTTTTCCTGATTATCAAGGAAGGACTTGGGATGGTTGAGCACATGATATGGATATGATTTTATTGAATTTTTTACCCTTATCTTTTACATCAATGCTTGATTTAAATCCAATAGGAAAAAGGCATAGATTTATATAGAAAAACAAATTTAAAAATTGTGACTAAGAAAAAAAGTTAAAAAACATTCATATTAGAGAATTTATTTTAAACAAGTTTCCTAAATTTTGCATTTTTATGTAAAATATCACATATTTTGATTAAAATTAGAATAACTTTGGAAGTTAATGTCAAGTTCTCTTTGCCAGAACAGTGGTAAGGAATTTAAATTATTACTGAAGAACTACAGAAATTTCACTCACCTATATCCATAAGTGTATAGGGAAAGACATTTCAGTGATGAGCAGGTGTTAATCCTACAGATGGATCTTATGCAGCTCCTCATTAACTTGACAACTAGCAGTGACAGTAGCAGGATCTCTGTGGTGGTTTGAATGAATAGGAATGATCCCCACAGGCTCATATATTTGAATACATGGTCATTTGGCAATGGCACTATTTGAGAGGGATTAGGAGATACAGCCTTGTTGAAATACGTGTGGCCTTTTTTGAGGAAATGTGTCATTGGGGGTGGACTTTGGGGTTTTGAAAGCTCAAGTCAGGCCCAGGGGCTCTCTCTTTCTTATTGCTGCCTACCGATGCAGATATAGAACTGTCAACTTTTTTTGCCAGCACCATGTCTGCCTACATGCCATCATGCTCCTTGTAGTGATGATAATGCACAAAACCTCTGAAACGGTAAACAAGCCCCAATTATGTGCTTTCTTTTATAAGAGTTGCCACGGTTTTTGTGTCTCCTTACAGCCTCAGGACACTGACAAAGACAGAGACATTGTCATAAATTTGGTCATCCACTCGGAGATAGGTCAAAGTAAGCAAAGTCTAGATCAGAACATAAGGTAATTTGTAGTTGGAACGATAAGGATGTTAATGAAGGTAAAAGCAGGAATAAAAAAGGTTCAGATGAGAAGCATCTACAGCTGAAGTTATTTTACAGTTGCTCTGAAATGAACATAATATTTAATTTAATGATCTAACCACTTTTCACATATATGACATGGAACTCTTGTTTTGTACAGGCTCAAAATGTTTTTCTGAAGATGTAATGGAAAAGCTGGTTTTAGTATTAGCAAATCTTTTTGGAAGAAGATATATTCCTGCCAAGTTCCAAGATGCTAACTTCAAATTTTATCAATCAAAGGTAAGATCTTCTGATAAAATTGCTCCTCAGGAAGTAGGTTGTTAGTTAGGATAATATATATATATAATCATGAAAGATGAGACTATAAGATTGGGTAATATATTGGAATTCTTTTATGAAAGAGGTAGAGTTAGATGTGTAAGAACCCAGCTTCTTTTCTATTTGAAAGAGTTCTGCTAGTGGGAAGGGGACATGTACCTTAGCCAGTCCATCCACTCAACTACCTCTTGCAAAGAGAAAACTGTGACCTGGTTGGTTTGGGTAGGGTGGGGTCCCTTAGTGGCAGGAGAACATGGGACAGGAGGGGTGAAAGTGGGTGTGAGAGTCAGATGGTTGGAGTGGCCCGTTATTGGAGAGGAGGAAGGGGCTGGAGGAGCTGAAGGAACAGTTGTATGTTGGGGTCAGAGAGGTGGCGGTTTATCAGCAAGGTCCAGAGAATCATTGGAGGGTTCCTCTAGTTCAGATTACATACGTAGGAGGACCTGAGCAGATGAAAAGGAAGCACAGAGAGAGCGTTTGGCACTAAGGTAAAAGAACGCTTGAATGTCAGACAACACGTCCATCTAGCCGTCTGCTGGCAAAAGTTGAAAACTTCTAGTAAAATATCAAGATGTAAAGTGCCAAAGTTGGCCATTTGGTTATCTGCGGGGTATTTGGGCCATTTCTGGATATGAAGTTAGATGAGTTTAGAAGCCTTTAAATAGGGCAAAAGCATAGAGATTTGAGGTTTTCTAAAAGACATCCCAGAGGGGAGGTAATGCAAGATATGTGGGAAGAAGTCTTAAGGAATGAAATGGGAATCACACACTCATGCATACAAAATGAAGCAATGCCATTGCCTCTTCATCTCCCAGGGAAAGATGGGGAAAGTTCCAGACCAGGTCACTGAACCATGCATCATGAAGCCTTCCACATTCAAGAAAAAGAGCACTAACTACTACCCCTTCCCTCTTTTCTTTTAAGTGGTCATGTAGGCAGGCAAGAAACACTGCCTCTATCAGGTCAGATAGCCCAAGGCATGGGCAGAGTGAATATCCACTCCAGGGATGTTGGGCTTACATTACTGGTAGGCTCATTTCCCATGAGTGATGCAGAAAAAAAAAATGAGATAAGGCACAAGCTGCTGAATGTGACATCACACAAAGAGCAGGGGCTGAGGGCCACATGGGTCTGAGTTACAAAAAGGAACAAAATCTGTAACTGGTTGTGGTCAATTAACTGTAAACAACACTATTCAGCAGCAATAGGATTTTATGAATAGGGAACAGTTAATGTATTTTTTATAATAATTTGTTCCTTTTGGAAATAGTGCACTATTTATCTGTAACTCAAAATTCCTCTGTGAATCTTTTCAAAGGTTGCATGCCTTAAGGATAAATAGGATGAAAGTATATTCATGTTTTTAATTGATTGCATCAAAATACAGCATTAATGAAAAGGCATACAGGGACTGGGAAGATGACTTGATACCGTGCTTGCCATGCAAGTGTGGGGATCTGAGTGCGGACCGCCAGTACCCACACGAAAAGATATACATGGTGACACACTTTATAATCCCAGAGCTGAAAAGGCAGAGAAGTCTGGATCCTTGGAGCTGGCTGGGGCAGGCTAGCCTAATTGGAGAGAACTCTAGGAATGGTGAGAGACCTTGCGTCAAAAAATACAGTGGAGAGCACCCACACATATATATTCATGTGCATACACATAGAAAATGCAGATAATTATGCATTTACGCCCCAAAGCCATCCTCCTTGTTGAATGTGTGTCTTGAGATATGGCTATGTGTCACACTGTCATCTCTGAAAAACTGTTACAAAGTTATCTGGGAAATTGTCCTTTGATTCCTAAAGTCTAAATCTTAGAAACCATTTTTCATCTTACTTGGTCGTTTTTGAAAAGGTGCATTTGTCCATTTAATTAAATCAATTGTATTTATTTCCAGGAGCTCCTTCGTAGGACCCTTTCTGCTCTTCTTGGTGCTTTGAGTTGATTCTCTTAGGATGTAGCACCGATGGCATGGCTGAGAAAGGCAGAATTCTTTTCTTCACAGTTCCTCAAATCCAGAAGTCTTAAGTGAAGATGCTTTGTGAGGGCATGCTTTCTAGGTTGTAGTTTACTATCACAAATCCACAAAAGAAGAAACTTAGAGATACAACACTTTCATGTGTACAGATTGAAAGTGATTAACAGTGTTAGCATACTGAGTACAGTGAGAGTCTCAGAACCTCTCAACCAGGTGGAGTTGATTCCGAGCCTGAAAATATGTTTTCTCTTCTTTTCTCTACAAATGTGTCCCTAGATTCTTTGAAATTACTCACGAGTCCAGTGGCAGTTGAGGACACACTTCTACTTTAACAAAAGTCATTTTGATTAAGTAGTATCTGAGGAAACATTATGCGTAGAGTATCTCTTTTTACAAGTGCAAATAAGGACAAAAAACATTTAACTTCAGTTTAACCAAGAAAAGAAGAAAAAGTGGCTTTATTGAAAACAATTGAATTATACCATGTGGTCTTTTCCTTCACTGCTCCAAATATTCAGTTTTTTAAGGCAAGTATTCTCCTCTCTCTCTGAAAAACCTTTGGCTTTTAGGTGTTCCTTGATGACCTCCCTGAGGACTTTAGTGCTGCCCTGCATGAGTACAACATGCAAGTGACAGAGGACTTTGCTACTTTTCTGCTAATTGTGTCCCAATTGGCTGATAAGAAACAGGAATATCAACTCCCCTTGTCAAAAATTGGTAAGTGTGTCCTAGTTCCATTATGAAGTGATTTAGTAATGGTCTTGCCCAAGGACATGTAATAGGGATGTTAGGGATGAGGTCAGTGGTAGGGCTCCAACTGTACCATTTTTATCTCAGAATGCTGGCACTCTAGAAAAGTCAGCTTGACTTAGAATAGCTGAATTCTTTCTACCAAAAGAAAAAAAACCCAAAAACAAACAAACAAACAAACAAACAAAAAACCCCAAAAACCCAAAACCAAAACCCAAAACCAAGAACCAAAAACCCAGAAGTTGGTGATTGGCAGTTAAAAGGGCAGTGGAGAATGATGCTAAAACCAAGTTGAATTGTTTATAAACCGTTTTTTTTTTTTTTTTTTTTTTTTTTTTTTTTTTGAGGGCTGACTTTGGGTCATTCCTAGAAAATTGAGCAAGGATGTCTCTGGCACAAGAGAAATAAGAGCAATTCTATGAGCACTTTTCAGAGAGCCTTGATGTTGAAGGTCATAGACTGGGCAAATTCCCTGACTCTGCTACTTCTTACTTCTGAAATTCGGGCAAGTGATGCCATAATCATGTCCTTGCTTTATCAATGGACATGAAGTAGAGAGTAGTATTTTTTTTAAGTTTTATTGAGATTCAAATGATTCGTTTTAAATGATTAGGGCATGTGGATACCTTGAAGTAGGGCTTAGTATATGGGGAAATGTTTCAGTTTTGTTGTTCTTATTTATAACCCACAGACAGAAGTCTTTTAAGAAACCATAAACAGGAAAGGGTGACAGACATAAAACTTTGATTGGGGAGAATTATCAGTGGCTCACTATACCCTAGCATCTTCAGTTGGGGAAAATCAAGGAAGTGGAGTGTGTACCCTCTTAGACCCTATAAATGGAGAGGTAGCATGAACAGGCACAGATAGTAATGGGGGGCACACACCTCTCTGGGCAGGTAAGATGGGAACAGGCAGATATTCTGCCTTAGTGACACACTAGAGCCTACTTTGATGATATGAACTGGAACTTTCTAAAAACAGGGATGGATAGTGTACATATTCTAATAACCATTTCCAAGCTTACTGATAGCAGACATTAGAATACCATATTTAGTCTATTCCCACACTACTCTGAACATCCCCAATTGTTGGAGCCCACTAGGTTTCCTAGTGGCTGTACCCAGCAGGACTGCATAGAGGTTGTTTGGACCACGGGCCTGGGTACCAGGTGTTCGTAAGGGTCTACACTTGACTGTAACTAGCAAGGGGGAGGTCTTTTGCTCCATCCCTTGGCATTGCTATAAATAGACCTTTGGAATAAAGTTCTGCGCCGGCGGATAAGGATCCAGGCCCACCCGAGTCTATCCTGTGTTTTCTCTGTTTCTCTCCCCTCTTTTTCTAACTAAGTCTCTTATCCCTCATTCCTCAAGAGTTCCATGGATGAATAAGTTAGGGAGGCTGGTTTTCCACAGATGGAGCCATGAACAGGAACTAGGGACTTGGCGAAAGGATTGTAGGGAGTGTTGTGAGTTTAGGCATGCTGATAAGGAATTGAAAAATGAAGGCAACGGTATTTTATTCTCAGGTGTATAGGCTAGGTGGTGAAGGAAATACTGCAAGGCTGCAGCATTAGATTTATCACTATAGATCTCACTTTCTCTCTCTCTTCTATCTATAAAAAATAAGCAAGGTAGAGTGTAGCAATATAGTGCAGAGCCTATTGAATGTAACTAAGATTTAGGTAAGGTTTAGGTTTAAGTGAGACTTAGGTAAGGTTTATAAATAGAGGTTTATGGTAGCCCTATAGAGAGTTTGCTAATAGATTCTTCCTAATGTAAGTTAGTTAAGAATAAGAAGTAATATGTCTCTTTTAGATGTTTGCTAAGTTAGCTATTTGAAAAAGTACCATAGTGACTAAGGTAGTCCTATAATAAGCTTATAAGAAATAGTTGTAAATTAAGTTTAAATAAGAATAAGGTTGTCTATTAGGTAGTCCTATGGAATGCAGGTTTAAATAGGTCATAGATTTAGTATAAAGTGAGTCAGAGAAATGTAGATTTAGAATATAATAGGCCTCAGGTTTAAGGATATGGTGAAAAAAGTAATTTAGAGTAGGTTTTCCCAACCTTGGATGGGAAGAGCAATGTCTTCGGCAGACAATGGACTTGGCAGTTCCAGAAAACCACCAATAACAACAAGGAACAGCTCCAGAGACTGCCAGCTTCAGAAAATAGCAGTCAGAGGGTCTCAGAAGCTGAAACCCTCAAGGCATCAGTGCCGTGTAGATGGCAGATGCACGAGGATCTACAAGCTTTCTACCGAAAGAAAGCCACGGTGAAAAATGAGTAAGCTAAGCCACAGAGAGGCCAACGACAAGCAGCAGTTTGGAAAGCCCTGCAGAGGTGCTGTGCTGCAGGAAAGATGAATGCAAGTTTCTGCAACCTTTGAGACACTACACGGTGAGAAAGGCAAATGGCGGAGAAAGCCCAGCGTTTTGCATTGCCTTGGGAAAGATGAACAGCGAGCAAAGCATCAGTGAACAGCAGAGACAGCAAAGACCAGACTGCTTCCAGGGCGGAAAAGCTGTGTCAGTGCTGGACAAACAGCTGAGACACGTGGGAACTGCTGAGTGCTCCAGGCTGAACAGCCACACCAAAACTGCAAAGAACTGCTGATTGCTACCGAGGATTCCAGACCAGGTTTGCTGAGTACTTGGACTGTCAGCAGTGCAGGTAATGGGTTTTCCTCCCAAAGCCAGGGTTGCCGTGGGAAGGAAGGACACAGTTTCAGCTCATGGCAGCTGAAGGAGCCTTGAGCCCGTGTGGCTATGAGGTGAAGCTCTCTAACCTGGTTCAGGACTGGTTACAGAAGGCTACAGACTGCAAAGCACAGCGGTAGCTGAAAGAAGAGATTACAGAGAGACTTGCTGGAACTGAGACGTTTTGGTTGTGGGACTTCTATTTGGAACTGTTTGCTTCAGAGTCATTACAACTCTGGCGGCTATACACAGACTTAAGGGCAGCTGACAAGTCAGGCCCTGACTATGAGCATTCAGAGGAACTTTTAGGGATGGTACCAGAACTCTTTTTGAACTTTTGAACTTGAAAAATAAAATGGACAGTAATGATTTCATTCCAATGGGACAGTTTGAATTTCCTTATGCACATAGACTATCAACAGTGATGTCTTATGAACTGCTTATGGAGCTGTTTATATGAAAATGGAACTGTTTAAATAGAGAAGTTTTTTTTTTTTAAAGAAAAGGGGAGTGTTAATAAACCTCAGTGTATTTAATTTAAAAAATATTTTCATGTTACTTGAGTGAATTAATGTTATGTTTTGTATAGTTCTAAATTGTAGGTTGAGAGTAGGCTTGTGGAAATTATTATGTTTACCTATTGATATTGATGCACCATGGTTTGGTGAAGTTAAGAAAGTATTTAAGTCTAAGATATATACATCAGAAGTTTATCCTATGTTTTGTTAGCAATAAATATTAAGAGTTTGCTTTAGGGTGTAAGATTGAGAAAATTGTAACTATGCATAACAATGCTTATATTAGAATTATGTTAACCTCTCTGTGTTTAAGTTTGATGCAGTTGCATCAAGAATTTTTTCTTTTAAAATATAAAGAAGAGGGACCTGCTGGAGCCCACTAGGTTTCCTAGTGGCTGTACCCAGCAGGACTGCATATAGGCTGTTTGGACCATGGGCCTGGGTACCAGGTGTTTGTAAGGGTCTACACTTGACTGTAACTAGCAAGGGGGAGGTCTTTTGCTCCACTCCTTGGCATTGTTATAAATAGCCCTTTGGAATAAAGCTCTGGGCTGGTGGATAAGGAGCGAGGCCCACCTGATTCTATCCTGTGTTTTCTCTCTGTTACTCCCTAATTCTAACTAAGTCTCTTATCCCTCAATCCTCAAGAGTTCCTGGGGTAAATAAGTTAGGAAGGCTGGTCCTCCACACCCAATCTTGTCTAATCTGGAAAGCTAAGCAAACTTGGGAATGGTTCATACCTGGAGAGAACACTGTCTGAAAAGATTCTAAGGCCATATCTGAATTCAGGGGAGAAGTTTCTAAAGGTACAAGTTTAATTTAGAGAACTTTCTAGCTTAATTAACTTTTGACTAATCAAAAGAACAGTAGATATTTTGCAATAGTGATATGAACACTAAAGACTAACATTTAATTATGTATCTCATCACCAACTGGCTTGGATATTCAGTATGTGTTATACCAATTTGTCTTCATTGTGATGTGGTCCCAGCTAGGTCCAATGGCTTTCCTTTTTAGCTTGGTTTAGCTGTCATACAAGAAAATGACTCTTCCAGTCATGGTGGTGCCTGCCTTTAATTCCAGCACTCAGAGGCAGGCAGGAGGATCTCTAGAGGACAGGGGCTCTCTATGATCAGTTTGGCTTACACAAAGAGTTTTAGGCCTGCCAGAGATACATACTGAGACCTTATCTCAAACAAACAAGCAAAAACTAAAAGGTCAACAACAAGCAGGGCTCTATCTCAACTTTTTCTGGCCAGACTTCACAGGTGAAGAATGTGAAGATTCACCACTTGTGTCCCACTTGATGAGCTGCGGGGAAGGCCGGGTGGCAGTTTCGCCATTTGTCTGTCTGTCTGGAAACTTTGACGTGGATTTGCTCTGTCCAGGAGTTCCAAATAACGTAAGTGAAGAGTGGATGTGTATTAGTCTCTGGGGGGCTTTTGCTCCAGTCTGAGTGGTATATTATAACAGACAGTTGTCAAAGCTATGGAATGCAAGTATACAGATGATAAAAAATTATACTTCCTATTGTAAGAAAAATATTTTCATTAATTAATTAATTTTCCCATCACGATTACAGATCACAGTTTCCCCTCCCTCCCTCCTCTCCTCCCAGTCCCTCCCCTAACCTCCCCTCTTCCCCCGCCAGCCATTCATTCCTTCTCCTTTCTTATCAGAAAAGTGCAGGCCTCCCATGTAGATCAGCCAGCCATGGCATATCAAGACAAATTAATTTTTAAGAAAAATAATTTTTAGGAGATTTGATTTTTTCATTTTGTATGGATGACTATAAACAACTAGTTGGATATGTAAGAGACTGGTAGTTAAGTACATTGAAAAACCAATATTAATTTTTAAGCATTAAAGTTTTCCTTTCCCAAGATGGATGTGATGGCTCATGCCCATAATCCCAACACGGGGGGTGGGGGATGAGGGGTGGGGGGGAAGGGGGGACAGACAATGAGACAGGAGGATTGCTACAAATTGGTCTGTTACATAATGAGTTTCAGGCAGGGCTAGAGTGTGTTCCTGTTTCAAGACAAGAAGGGGGTGGAAGAAAGAAGGAGGGAGAGGAAGATATCAAAATAATTTCCCTTTCCATTTATTCTGTAATGACTCAATTTATGAAGTGTGACAATCACTTTTATTTCCTTTGTACATGTAGAATTTCCATGGCAATTCAGAAGGGTGCTGATAGAATAAACAAAAAGTCTGTGTCTTGTTGCTGCAAAATCAGCATTAGAAGAGAAATAGGTATATGCATGAACTCATTCCCACTCACCCTTGCTGCCCATGGAGTTCTAGAAAAAAATTTTCTGCTTCTCTTTCCTTCATTTTGAAGCATCTGACATAGGTATTTAGATTCATGTTATTTGATCATACCCTGCATTTTGCTTGATTCAATTCACTTTATATAACTTTTTATTAGGATATATTGTAATATCTTGAAATTTCACTTACTTGTATTATTTATTACAGTTTGATGCTATATTCTATTGCTTCTAGATGGCTTAAGAAGAGAGGAATACACACAGTGGGTACCCGTGAACCTAAAACTCTTGCCTCACTTTTATTTCATTTCCTTGTGTTCCACTAAAGTTACTGAAATTTTTACATTCTTCTGAAAATAATTCATTCTACAAATGAGTACTTATTTACACTTGTGTTTTATTTTTAGAAGAGTGAAGGAATGGTTCATTGTATTCTCCTGAAAGTATCTTTTGCTGTCTTTAGTTTTATGTCTGTAAGATTCATACCTGTTTTGCCATGAAGCTCTCGTTTATTTTCGACACACCATAATACTTCATAATATAAAACTATGCATTACTCTGTCTTCTGTCGATGTTTGATCAGTTTATAGTTCTCTGTTGCGACAAACAGGGTTGGTATTAATGTCTGGGGCATGTGTGCAACTTTCCCTTGGGTGGAGATTTTCTGGGTCATAGCAAAATAAAAATATTAAAATGTTCATGTCTACTACCCATGATTCCCAAACAACTCTAGTGTTGAAACATCTTTAACTAATATTCTACATTTGTTACACTGTAGAACATTTGTTTAATGATGGAAAGATGTGTTGAATTCTTTTATGTTGCATTTGCTTAACTCTGTGAAGCAGTGTTACTATGCCTGTCGAAAACACCTGATTGGTGTATTAATAATGGCCAATAGCAAGGCAGGAGAAAGGATAGGAGGGGCTTGTAGGCAGAGAGAATAAATAGGAGAAGAAATCTGGGAAGAGAGATTGAAGAGGAGGATAAGGAGGAAGACTCTAGTGCTGTGGGATGATCTGTATATCAAATCTGTTGCTATGATTGGTCAATAAATAAAACACTGATTGGCCAGTGGCCAGGCAGGAGGAAGTATAGGTGGGACAAGGAGGAGAAGAATTCTGGGAAGTGGAAGTCTGAGTCAGAGAAACTACCAGCCACCACCATGA